CATTGGTTATGAACAAAATAGTATGATTTCTGAACAATGTTGCGAAAGTTTTATTGAAACGTTCGTAGTTCTTAATAATTAATAAACAAATAGAAACTAAAATAAATTATTCAATACGGAATAGGACTATTATTTGTATCGAATAAAAAAATTAATTTAACTTGTTTTTGTATTATTATAAAACTTCGGAATTATTAAAAAAGTGTAACAACAACTTTACTACAGTCAATAATGTTCTCGGGAATTGTAAGGAAATCATAAATGTTATTGATATCAGGTATAATAGTTACATTGTGTTGTATTAAAAGAATATAACTACCTAATAATAATATTATATTGGTATATTTTCTTATAAAAAATGGCCATTGTAGTTGATATTAATTTATTTTGTTCAATGAAAAAATAATGATATAATAGTAAATATAAATTTTCATAATAGTATAACTAATACCGTTTTTTCAGTCGAATTTTCAATAGTGATGGCATTCAATTTTCAAGTTATACATATATTTTTTAAGACGATATTTTTCATTCTTTATTTGATTATTATCGAATAACATAGCAAAAATGATAAACATTGTCTTACGTTTACTAATGAAATATTATCAATTACCTATGATTACTGTTGTTTGTTTTATTAATTTTTATATAATATTTTTTATGAACAACATAATATACAATTTTAATAACCATCGTACATCTGTAATGCTCACAGTTGACATGGTTAATTTAATACAATTGAACTTACTGGTTTATCGCGTTATTATAATATATAATATAGATAGGTACCTATATATTATGTATGCATTCAATAATTTTTAATAGGTACAATATATTAAACTTAATTATACTACGATAGTACAATGAAATTACAGTCATCAAACACGTGTACAATACGTATGCGCGAGATGCATTATTTGAATACCCTTATATTAAAAAAAATACGATGGCTCGAATACAATTGATATACGAATCTTTTTGACAAAGTCGAGTGGAGATAATACTTGCGCACTTCGTTCACCCCCCAATTTTGATGGTAGTAGATTTTTATTTTTATTAGACGCTAATCAAAATGTCCTTGTAGTATTTATAATAGCACTAGAGGGTGCGTTCTCGCAGGCAGTTTTCCCGTGTAATGGCGTTTAATTGGGTGCGTGATAATTGGCTGCAGCCGTCGATGAAAAGAAAATTGAAAACTGTCCGAGCTCGATATTTCCTTGCTGCAGTTATATGTTGCAGTAGGTACCTATATATATGTAGGTAGTATGAAGTGTTAAAATATTAAAAGTCTGGAGCTGTGGTCGTGGTGTCTGACAAGTCGGTCGAAAAATATTATGTTCCGTACAATAATAAGATACCTAAGCAAATTCCATTCTGTATCCCCCAACCCTCCATCCGACACTCCACCCGAAACAATAATCTCATGCAAACCAAAAAAGGTTTCTCAAAAACTGTTTGTTCGTCTTATCGATTTTTTAGTATTATTATTATTATTATTTTTTTTTTTTGTCCTTCGTCGTCGTTGTATAGCTTTTCGACAATGTCTTCGTTTGGTTCTTTTCTTCTTTTTTTTTTTTTTTCTAAAAGGAATTGCGAGGGAAGATAAAGCTGCCGGCGCCGGGGGAGGATGATTCGGGGGACTCGCGGGAATCGGCGCGCTACGCTCGAGGGGGAGGGTGAGTGGGGTTCGGGTTGCCGGCCGCGCAAAAGCCGCGCGGATGTATACACTAAAATCGGATCTCGGGCCGGGAAAGTCGCCGCGCGGATTGTCTGAGCCGCCGCCAACAAACTTTTGACAATGCGATCAAATTGTGTATCATATTATAACGTAGGTGCATATACATACCAACATATATAGGCAGTATATACATTGTTACCATTATGCGCCATTTATTATATTATTATATACAAAGTACGGCTGCCCAGAATATCCACTCGTCCTCGGCGGTTTCCATTAATCCTGCTTATCGTCCCGCCGCCGCCGCCGCCGCCGTCGACAATCGGTTCGCGAAACGGTGAAATAGGTAGACGTAAAACTGTTTGCACGGGTCGATAACGTGAATAATCGCCATTTTAATATCGTTATATTGTAATGTACATGTTGTTGTTATATTACTGTTTTTTTACGCTCGCGATTGTCGGTCGGTCTGTGTCGGTCGCGTGATCGAAATCATTGTTTGCGCCACGCCGCTGCGATTACTGTTGTACCTATATATTGTACATATACGATAGCTGTCGAATGGCTGCAGCGGTACGAGTGTACGACCCATCGCGGTGTATAACAGTCAGTGGATAATAAATTAAATCGAAAAATATTCACGACCAACCGTGGAGCATTTATGGGAGAGGGAGGGGGAGGGCTACTGATCATCAAAACCCAAATAACTGCGTACTACTCGAATTTTTACGTCAACACGAGTCAAACTGACAAAGCGCCAGCTATACAATAAATAATAAATATATTGTGACTATCAGACATTTTTTCTAAGATGACTTAATCGTTCACATAGTACCTCAATAAAACAATTAAAATTGCTACACTTAGGACATATTATATGTACTTGTATTGCACCGACACCATACATTATGTGCGTAGTAACTTATAGTTTTCCGAAAATGCCAATAATACATAATAATATGTGAGCAGTTAATAAAAGACGTATTGTAACAGGTCACTGCACAATAAACCCAAAGTGATGATGGTCCCATATATTATGTTATTACTCAAAAATTTAACTTGAAAAGAAGTCGGTAGGTCACGTATTAATGTACGTCTTGTACAACCAATGTTCCTAAATTTAATCGCTGACCCCTCGAAGCGGTATCTCGAATATTGCGTCATAATAATTAGCATGCATCTCGGTTCGTGACACGACACCACAATATATGACTGACTACTCAGAAAATCGGTGAAAATCTTGTTTTGCAGGGCGTCGGTCGGAATAGGATAATCATAAATTATTTTTATGCGCTTCAACGTCGTTTTGTGATTTTTTCCCTATCTCGTCTCCAAACAATATTGGTAATATTAGTAACTAACAGCAGCTGCAGCAGCCCCGACCCTTAACTCTTGGCGAATAATAGTGTCGTCGTCGTTCTGCGGAGAACAATCGCAATACTATGCAGCCCGCACTCGACATGACAATCATACGACCACTTTTATCTCTCGGACTGCCTCTCGATTTAATAATATGGAATAACTATACATCATAATATCGTGTAAGACCAATTATGTTTGGAATTATGCGTTTCAAATTGTTCTGATGACATATAAACATAAAATATATGAAACACTTTCTAATTGGATACGGCACTGTACTTGCAGTATCATCATAAGTCATAAACGATGATTTAACGATCGAAGTCGATGTGTCTGCGGACATTTCAATTCGTCAATCTCTTACTTGATGACATTTTTTTTTGGTCATATTCAATAACGCTTCTATTTTATTATACACTTAAGACTGATTGAAAAATCGTTGCAAGACAGTTAATTGTCGAGTATTCGGAAATAATAATTACATTTGCTGATGCCGTTCGACGAGCTAACGTTTTTGGCTCCCTTTACCGTTTCCTATAGCGTATTCCACGGTATCGTAAATAACGCACACGCACACATGAAGTTTGTGTACAGTCTTAGCGGTGCACTTTAAAGTGCGCGCGCAGTTTCGACGCTAATTGTTGGACCAAGTCCAAATTATCCAAAGATGAAAATAGTTGACAAAATGAAGGGAAATGTTTCAGTTTACCTGCGGCTGCTAACCCGTATAAATAATGTATAATATTATGTACTCATTTATTTCATAACTAAATATATTTTCACATTTCTGTCTAATCACTGATTATTATTTTGAAGTGTGATTTAAAAAAAAAAAATGTTATTTATTGGCACTTAAATACACGCACATAATAGACAATACGTGTATAGTGCGTTTGGCGTTTCCCCAAATACACTAGTAAAAAACACACACACAAACTACGGAATGATTACTTTTGGAAAACTAATGAAGCCCGACACACAGACCGGCTATACAACGTGACTAATCCAATTGTCTAAAATTTCTGAAATAACTCAAAAATGTTCTTTAGAATACATCTGTGAAACAGTTAACGCTCTGGCGAGTTAATGGAAATATGTTTTTGAGTACAAAAAAAAAAAAAAAATAAATAAATAACAACGCATACTTAAATATTTTAATTATTTCGAGTCCAAATATATACCTACTGCGTAATGTTTCCAGTCGTTCGTATTTAAAGAACAGGAGATAAATAGTGAATCGCAAATAGGAAACAGCCGGTTTCAGACTAGCAAGTAACCCTTATAATTTTATTGCCCCCCGTATCGCAATTTCGTTGATCGCTACATTAATTAATTCTTTGCAAATATTATACCCAATAGTATACCGCTAAACTATGTATTTTATTAATATTAAATTCCTTCGTTATTCATCTAAGAAACGTGGATTTGAAAATTTAAAATGAACTAATTTAAGTGGTAATGTAATTTTGGAAACCGAATTCCACATTTTTTCACCAACGTGAGGCCTCAAATCTAAGTAAAGAGCGCGAGTCACAGACCCTGGAGCCTCTGCCCTGACTCCTCCACCCTCAAAGACGAACCTGCTAACCGATAACCTCGTAGGTTGTTCATGATCTGACACTATATAGTATATATATATATTTCTGCAATGTATACTATTAACGTAAACCGAACATAGGCTACTATAATATATTATTTTAATTTTGAGCTCTTGAAATGCGAGTACCACGCACCGTGCATGCAATAATTTTCAATACCTACTTAACGGTACCTGTCTATATACTTTTGTAACAATACAGACCGTCCGCTATACGATTATGTCTATGATACTTAAAATAATAATGTACATTGTTTTTTTTTTTTTTTTGTAAGCACGCATGCACTGTTGTATGCATATTAAAAATATGCACTACGAAATATCTTTTTCAATTTCTAATGAGAATTTTTATTTTTGTTCCAGGAAAATGTTCATTGGCGGTCTTAGTTGGCAGACTAGTCCAGGTAATTTAAAATAAAATATAATAGTAATAATAATAATATTATGGACAACGATCGTTGTACGTTCACGCGTTGTGTTACAATAGAAGGTATAATATAATTATTATCATTGATGTTTATTATATATATTATTTATACAGCCGAAACGAATACCATTGGCCGAATTGTATAATTTATTTTTATTTTTAAACAGAAGCACGTTCGTGCTTTACCTCTAATATCATGATGTGTTATTATAGGCACACCATTTAATTACCGAACAAATGGTTAATGCACGTCCGTCACGATTACTGTTATATTGTTTTAGCCGTTGTTTGGCTGTTCGCGATCGAAATGTTTGTATTTTACATAATCATTTGGGCCAATTCATTAAAAAAAAAAAAACTGAAATGTTGAAAAAAAAAGAAATTGGATTTCGCGGTATAAATACAACAATGTTGATTAACTCAGACATTTCGAGTGTGCTTAAAAATGTAATCAATGACTTAAATATAAAATATTAGGTATAGACTCTAGCGGAAAATGCTGAGCTCTGAAAACAACGATCGAACATTGTAGCCGGCTTTTTTAAAGATTCGAATTCTCCATTTCATCTTTTATTATATAGATGCGTTGTTTCAAACGATTTGATGAAGCTACACGTAATATATTTTGAAAATTTAAAATAAGACTTCAAATAATAGCATTGACGACGAAAGAAAAAAGAAAAATTAATAACACAACTGCAGGGTACCTACATTCGATTGGACTAGCGAGTATATTATGCTTACAGATTGATAACGATATAATATGGTGTCATCAGCGGATGTGTGTAAAAATGCTAACGAGGGATGACGTCCGAGTGACAATCGTAAATTGGCCACCCAATACAAATAGAAGGGTCGGAAACCCAAAATCGGACCTTCAGATATTTTGAGAGACGGTAAAAAAAAAGGCTAGTCAGTATAACAATAAACTCGATACAGCACAGTCCATCGGTGGTATATTCGGCGCAAACCGATTTTTATGTCAAATAAACTGAAAATAGGCTATAATGGGAAATGACCCGACGCCGCCGTTAATTCAAGCACTATACGAATCCCACAATAGTACCAACAACCTACTATCGCAGATTATGTTATATGAAATCTCGTTTTATATAATCCCCCGCTACTATCACTAATCGGATGTCATAAAATGTAGTTCATTATATTAACTTAGTAGTATTTCGTCGTATTTTGTAAAACATTACCAGAATATAACAATATAATGCTACTTGTATAATATACAGGTAGAGCGATTATTTAAAGGTGAACGCAGACTATTTTTCAAAATAACTCCTGCTCCTTCAGAAAATGTTAAGTACAGGAAAATTCAATATTCCGAAGCTGATTACTTTTTTTTTAAATGTCGATGCACAAAGCATAATAATTAATACTATGTTATGGATTATCCCAAACTATTAATTTATTTCATTTTTTTTTTTTTTTGATTGATTATAATTTAATGTTCTAATTAAACTGAAATTTTTTGCTGGGTGATTCAAGTGCTCTTGTGATATTACTGTACGTCGTTATCGGAGAGTTGTACTACACAATACAATAATATAATTAATATAATATTATGGGTATAATTATTATTGTTATATTCATCGATCGACGCTCTTGAAACGGTTGCCGCAACGTACCAATGCGTACCTATACATTATAATGTATTATATATATGGGTAGTTACATATTATATTATACACTAATGGCCACAAACGAGCCAATCTATAACGAGTGAGTGTATTTTTTACATTTTTTTTTTTTTAAACTCCGTACCCGATTCGTGGCACCACTTCGGTCGTACTTGGCTGGCGTTCAGGAAATTTTCATCAATACAACCAACACACAGGCTGTGATACGACGGCGGTGTGCGGCGCACGCGTGTGTGTCCCGTTCCCGTTTTTTTTTTCCTGTAAATTGTCTCTTTTGTGTCGTTGCGTATATAGGAGAAAAATTGGAAAGAAAGAACAAAAAAATAACCATATACGTGCACAACCTAAAACAACAATATAAAATACAAGAGATCGAGGATGGGGGAACAAATAACTCATTACAATCGTAAAGCGTCGGACGTGTTCGGAATAAAGCGCGTCGTATTTTTCGTCGACGGAGAGGGAACCCGCTATCTCTGTGTACGACGACATTATCCTAATATGCTTCGTCGGACAAAATATATATATTACACCGTATAGAGGTATATTATGGAGGTATGCAATATAATAATAATATGTAATACACTGCGCAAAGACGATAATAATAACGTATTATGTTGTACGCGTGTGTGTGTGTGTGTGTGTGCTCAGTCGTATATTATTATGTCATGTGCCCAAAAACGATCGGACTGAGTAGTGCATATTATTGCGTATAATAATAATAACAATAATAATAATAGTGTAATATAATTTTGCGTTACGCACGACGAGGATCGACCGTGACGCGGGGGAGGCGCACGCGCTCGCCGTCCGTCTGCGTGGGCGGGTTTCGAGTCGGAAAACTGGAACATTGCGGTTTTCCGCAGTCGAGAGCCGACGCGATGCGATATCGTTATGCCCGATTTTCCGTACTGCAAAACGCACCCGGTGACAATTTATTCTGGAGACAACCATCATCGCAATATTGTCGCGCGGTCGATAAAATATCGGAGAATCACGATATTGCGTACTTTAAACCGGAACCGTCGAAGCTCGCGCGGTGGTCTCATAATATTGAACAATGACAGTATTAGTTACGACTCTATCGTCCGGACTTATTTTACCGGTCCGACGTCCGCGAAATACCGACGCGACGCCGCGTGCGCGTGGACTCTAGACGGCCGGAAAACGGAGTAGGTATTATTTAATCGGCATATCCTCGTGACGCACAAATGATTTCGATTTACAACGTGTAGACTGGGAATGATAAATACAAATTTATATTTATTTGACGGCGTTTATGTGGACAGATCGGACTGTGTAGAACAAACATACAGTCGGGACGCGTGACACTATATGCCCCAATCTAGTAATATCAGTAATTACAATAATATCTAATAATATCTTCTCAATCGATAATACAACACCAGACCCGCATGCCGGCCTATTATAGTGTAATCTGATAATGGTTTCGATCAAACTATAATATGATGTGCCTCATTATCATCGAAGATACAAGCGTTTATGATGGTCTGTGTACACGACGACGGTTATTGGGATGCAGTCCGAGCGAAATCGCAATCGTGCAGTAATCGTTGTCGATAAACAATTACCATTAATCGTTGGACGATTATCCCGTGATAATATTTCCGACAAAGTAGCGAGTCCGAGATAATTTAGCAAGATAATCCGACGCTTGGCGTTGGTTAAATATTTAATCTAACAGACGACACGAATAAAATTTAACAAACGCAAGAATCTGGTCGAAAAAATACGACGATATATCATACGAATCTCATACGTCTTATCGCCGTCGGGACGAGCGTGGGCCGACGCGATACGTCGGGAAACAAAATGTACGTTTAATTGCCGCGCAGACGAGCCTTTCGAGTGGGGGGCGTAAAAAGTAAAACTAAACTATATATAGGCACCTAATATATAACAATTTATTATGTCGTCTATTATACTCGTACGCGTGTAATACGAAATGGCATTTTTGTGTGGAAAAATAAATGAAACCGAGCAGTCCTGTGACGATACAGACGAGTCAATATTCGTCCGGAACAAATAGAGTGCCGGCGCATTCCGAGCCACCGTTTGGTGGTGGTGGTGGGGGGGGGGGACCAAAGACGATTTTCCTCTGGATATTCTACGCGTCTTGCGAGCGTGTTGAAAAAGTCGTGTTCCGTTTAATCTCTCGAGACTTGGTCGGTTTAACGGCGTTCGCTTTACACACTAATATTATACCCGTCGCCGTGTATATAGGTACCTGTATAATATTATTATATTTTGACGCGGTTACACATAGCTGGGTGACACATTAATAATAATAATAATAATATTTTGATTTTATACGCGTTATCGCTTCGTCGTCACCGCCGCAAGCCGGTATCGTTTCGTGCTGTACATCACCGAACACACAAAATATTATTATCGTCGTCGTGGCCCGTTCGATTCGCCGCCTCGGGCTGCTCGCTAAACGTCGACGACAGCAGAAGTAGCCGTGGATCGGCAGGCTGCGCTTGGGAATCGAGGCGAAGGCGAGTGAACCGTCCATAAAATAAATATAGGATACATTATCGAGAGATGGAATGAAAAAAAAAAAAAACAGAAATCGTAAAAAAAATAATTATTACATTTCAAGTACTTGCGCGTTCACATTCTCCACCATTATAGGTTAAAACGAAATCGTCAAAGTAATCGTCCTGCTTGCCTACCCCCCAAACGCTGACTACAGCTGGAAAATACGAATCATAGTAATGTGGTTTATAAGCTCGTATAATGCGCGCGACTTCGAGACTTATGGCTCGTGAACTTGCCCAAGTCGTTATCACAACAGAGGTCATTCTATGCAGCACGCCTTGCCCTTCTCCGGGGTAAGGCATGTACTGCAGCAGGACATCGGATGTCCTAGTTCAATATCACAGGATATACCAACAAGGAAACGATAACATATTTTGACTATCCTTGAACAATAGCTATTATATGTCATTGTCTCATTCGGCGCTACACAATAATATGATGCGCATCGTAATAATTGTGTAGAAATGGAATACCTCAATGTTGTACAGCATGGTATAAAATATATGGTATACTATGTAGGCAAATAGCAAGAATTTATCAACGAATCGATTACATGAGAATATGACCGGCGCACGCGCGTGCGAGTGTAAGCTCCTGAGTGAACTAATTGAACGAACTCGCTTATAATATTATTATTAATCCGTAATTGGATAACGAGGCTATTGCTCGACACGTAACGTACATCTATTATAAATATATAATATACATAAATACACACACACACACACACGACATATTAATAGTAATGGTAATTATTATTGTT